TCACCCCTTGTCTCCCAGCCCCCAGAACATCCCTACCAAGCACTGGGGACACCCATTTGGGAAAAGCCAACACTGAAGCAGCCCCCAGAAACCCTCCCCAAAAGATGTACCCGGCGGCGAGAGCAACCTCTCGCCCACGCCGAGGTGGCCGGGCAGCCGGTGGCTTTGGGTGGCAGATCCCTGAGCTCCACGGGGAACGTTTCCTCCAGCAAAGCTAGAGGGAGCCCATGGCTTTTTTTTGGTCTCCCCCTTCACCCAACCGGAGCTCTCAGGTTTAACTCGAGCTCCTCCGAGCCCGTCTTGCAGCCCTCGCAGGTATTAGGTAAGGGCCCCGCTTGGGGCCAAGATGCCACAAGTCACGTTGAACACGCACAAACAGGCTCCGCCTGAGCAAAGGCCACCGTTCCCACGGCCCGGCGGGCGCCGGCGGGGGCGTAAGCTGCAACTCACCTTGTGATGCTGCCCGTGCAGCAAGAAATGCAGGGTGATGAGATAGTAGTTACTAGCGGGTGGCTTCATGTGGAAGACAAAACGATGGATGAGGTACTCTAGCAGGGACCACAGGAACATCCCCAGGAGGAAGATGAAGGGGAAGTAGTATTTGTGGACGGGGATGGAGTACTCTACACAACGAGACGTGCAGTGGTCAGCAGGGCAGGCGATGTGCGGGTGCTTTCATCCGTCGCCGTGCTCCCATCGGCATCTGGGTGACGCTCGGCTCTCCCTCCCTCTCACCTCTCATCCGCCTCCTGCCCCGAGCTTCCCCAAGGAGCTACCATCCCAAGCACCGCTCCAAACCACGTTTTCCTTTGATTCCCATTAATTTACGCTCTTTACGGAAAGAGTCGGCTTCTCGCTGCCGCAAGGAGAGCCGGCGAGGGGGGTCCCCTGCATCCCAGATGCCAATGGGGGGCTTGGACGTGCACTCCAGGGACAGCCCTGTCCTCACAAAGCTGTGTCGCCCACCAGAACAAGGCAGGAGGGACCAGGAGGGACCTTAATCTGCGTAGGCAGCACTCATGACAATTAAGCAGTGTTGCTGGCGTTGTTTGGGGTTTTTTTTTTATTTTTTGGGG